GGGGGCGGCTGTGCGACCCAGCCAGCTGCCCCCAAGCCTGCTGCCTTGGATGTGGCAGCTCTACCCTGGCAGACAGTACTGAGGCTCACACTCCAGGGTCTGGGCATCGTGTACCACCGAGCTCAGCGGCACTGAGGACACACTCCTGGAACGGCTGCGGGCCCACATTACAAGCGATGTGGTCCTGCGATTCCAGTCTCCCTGGGCTGCTGTCCTGCTGCCTGCAGTGGGGATGGTCATGCTTGTGTCTGCCTTTTTGACCAGCCCTGTTCTGCTCTGCTACACCGGGTCCAGGAGGGAACAGATGGGCAGGGGATGGGCCCCACCCGGGGCCTGCTGGAACCTGCCTGCAGCCCCCTCGGCCTCCCCTGGCAGATTGGCACTGGAGAGCACCCGGGTCTGTATAGCTTCCCCCAGGTCCCCCGGCTGTTCTTGTATCTCTGGTGATCTCAGCTTCCAGGTTTCTGGCCTCTCTCTCTCTGTTCTGTCCTTCTCAGCAACTAATGTTGTGTGCTACACACAAGTGCTGCTCCTCCTCCTCTTCCCTCGGCTCCATGGACCTCTGGCTGCAAGGCAATGGGCTCACTCAGGCCTCTGAGCCCTTGGACCAGCTCTCTCACATGGGCCAGACCTGCACACAGCCCTGTCTACAGAAGTCCCATCCGCCAAGCAGGTTCACGTGCAGTTCACAGGAAGGCCTCAGAGGAGCCCTGTGCTCAGCACTCAGAAACCTGTTGGTCAAGGGTACACAGCACCTGACCTAGCAGGAGACCAGGCAAGCGGGCACTGTGGATGGGCCTTCGGGCAGCCCTCCTGTAGGACAGAGGCTGGAAGTCCCCCCTTTTATAGGTACACACACACCTGGATGTTATGAGGTTGTATGCAGCATGAACACTTGTAATAATGATTTATTACATGTAAGATAATTCATCTAAAAAAATAAAAATAAAAAAGATATGAGACTCTTAGTTCCAACCCGCCCTGGGTCCCTAGCACCATTCCAGGGACCCCGAGACGTCCTCTTACCCACCAGTCCGTCCCCCATTCCCTTATTCTTGGAAAAGCTTCTCCATCAAAAGGGAGGCACTGAGGATACCATTTCCCCCTCGCTCATCTGCCTGCACACCTGTCTTCTCCTTTTGTGCATCCCTGGACCCGCCCCCCTCGCTCAAGTGCCGTTGGGTCTGCATCAGTTCTCCATCCCTCCTCTTTCAGTACCTTCCTGTCAACAGCCACGACTCCTGCCAGTCCTCTGTCTTGTCAACCTTTCATAGCCAAGGGTTTAGAGAGACACATTCTCTCCTCCCTCAGCCTCTCATTCCCTCCTCAGCGCACCGAAGGCTGGCTTCTTGGCCCTCCACTGCCCTGGCACTCCTTTGGTAAAGGTCTCCAAGGAGATGCACGCCCCGAAATCTGACAGATGCTTTCAGTTCATATATTTATTTGCCCAACATATATTTCACAAAGGAACTGAGGCATAAGGATATATGTATGATTAGAAATTATGAATAATTACAACAGTCTCAAGCAAAGTGTAAACCAGAATGGAAATTCAAAGAGAAATATAACAGAGAAAGTACTGCATCCCCCAGTAAAAGCTCAGGGACTAAAAACAAAGTGCAAGTTGGTAGGAGCAATTCTTACAGCTTTTGGGGTGTGCAGTAGGTTGCACAGTGTTCCCCGAAGTTATGTCCAACTCTTAATCCCTGGTACCTATGAATGTGAACTTATTTGGAAATAGGGTCTTTGCAGATGTAAATAAGGATCTTGGGATGAGACCATCCTGGATTTAGGGTGAGCCCCAAAGCCAAGACACACAGAGTGAAAATGGAGGCAGAGACTGGAGTTATGCATCTACAAGTCCCAAAGACCAAGAACTGCCAACAGCCACCAGAATCTAAGAGAGGCACGCAGAACAACAGTAAGAAGGAACCGGCTCGGGTGACGTCTTGAATTTGGACTTCGGCTTCCAGAACTGTAAGGACAAATTTCTGTTGTTTTAAGCCACCTGGTTGGTAGTGATTTGTTACTATAGCTTCGGGAAACAAATATGGGGTACATCCTTGCTGGTTGATACCCCCATGCCTTTTCAGATGCGGTCTTTCTCCTTGAGGGCTGTTCCACTTTTGTTAACTGGGAAAGAAATGTTACAAAGATCCATCGGAAGTCCTGCCCAGACCTCTCAACTCTTCCTGCCATGCCTCACCTGTGTGACATAGTCTTCATTTTTGTGTTGGTCTCTTCAATTGCTTGTTAGCCCCTGAGGCTTGAGAGTTCTCTTAAAGTCAATCTCAAGCAAGAAGACTACTGCATAAAAAAGTCCATGGCAAACATCTATTGACTAAATAACTCAGAAGGCAATAGGGATACCAAAGAGGGAAGGATTCATGTTGGCTGTCAGAAAAGTGGAAGAGGACAGTCTGGGCAGAGGCTATAACACAGGGATCAAGATAACTATGCAGGAATAATAGGCTGTCTTATATTGTATGTAATCTTTTGTTGGGAGCATTTTCAGGTGTTTCTTATGAGAAGCTTCTCTCCATATCTTCTATTAACAGATTACTGATATGTTAGCCTTGCCTCTCCTTACATAAACACAGCCCACATCGATCTTTTCACTGCAACACTAACAATGTTTCTTGGCCCATCAGAGTAGCAAAAAAAAAAAGGAATTAAACTATTCCATGTTACTGTGGGAGTGGGGAAATGAACACTCTTAGACACTGCCAGGAATGTAATTTGGCAATATGTATTAAAACTTGCATGGAATAGATGCATGTTTTTTTGACCCATAAACTCTATTTTATCACAATGAAATAATTAGAGATGATATATGTAGAAGGGTTTTTCTAAAAATAAAAATGAGAAACAACCAAAAAGTTCAGCAATAGGAACCTAATTAAATAAATTCTGTATAGCTATATAATAGGATATCATGTAGCTATGAAAAATGATGTTGATGTATATTTGATTGAAAATATTCTCACTTTAAGTATAAAAGCAGGTTATAAAACAATATATATATGTATAAAAAACATGGGAGAATAGATAGTAAGAATGTTAACCCTATCCTTGGGTAGAAGAATCAGGTAAAATTTTTATTTTAAAATGTTTTTATTGATTTTTTTTTTAGAGAGAGAGGAAAGGAGAGAGAGAAACATCGATGTAAGAGAGAAACATGGATCAGCTGCCTCCTGCAGGATGGAGCCTGCAACACATGTGCCCTGACGGGGAATCTAAGGCTGAAATCCACTGAGCCACACCAGCTGGGCTGATTTTCATGTTTAAAAATAAAAACTTTTCCCTCTTAAAATGAATATGTATTCCTTGTAAAACATAAAAATAAACAGCCTGATAGTAAGCACTGTTAATAGCACGGTTCTGAAATAACAGTCCACAAAAGCCAGGCTTTCTATTGAGAACATGGGAGATGGTTCCTCTCCACTCTCCTCTAAAAATGCCAAATGTGCACCACGAGAGAAGCCAGGAAAGGAGCCTCTCAAGTTGCTTCTAATCAAAACGGGGCCAGAGACAAAAGACGTTTAGTCTTCTCAATCTTTGCAAGACAGGGCTCCTCATTGTTTGGGACATCTGCTCTTCTCGTAATTGTATTTATCCATTTAAAGTCTTACTTGATTGTCCAATCTCTGTATACTTTACACTCCCCGTTCTTGTATGGAAAGTTAGTGTATGAGTAGACTGATCGACTGTACGCAGGTGCCAAGGGCCGTGAGGAGGAAATGGAGTGGAGGCTCCTCTGTGTTTGGTCTTTTCTTACCATCCTCATGCCCACAAGTAAAGGAGCTCAACCACCTTTCCTGTCTGCATCTAACTGCATGGACCTGAAGGGTAAGTTATACCCAGCACAAAATGTTCATCTAATAAATTGGGAATGAAAAATAAGAGAATCTGCAGAAACAAATAGAAAAAGAGCTTCCCTGCTTCCCTCCTCCAAACAATCTATGCATGGAAGATGCTCCAGAACGGCAATCCCATTTCCGCCCTGAACGCAGATGCCCTCGGATCGGAAGGCATGCCGGTCACACGCTTGTCCCACGAGGCCCACTGAGGAATAATGTCTATTGTCTCAAGGCGTACCACTCTATGAAGCCAGCTGGCACTTTTAGCAGGGTGTTAAGATTCTGGTCACTTATCTCAGGGTCAAAACAATCCCAGCTGATGTTAGGAAGCCGCGCACCCGCACACAGTGAATTCTTACACTTGGCTGAAAGCCAGGCAGCCACAGGGAAGGTGAACTGAAGACTGTGGGCCTACAATTTACACAGAAGCCGACTTGGGAGGAGAGAGTTTTCCCCAGAAGGCAAGAGAACTTGATCCTACCACATACATGGCAGTTTGTGTACGTCACAAGAAGTAAAACACAAATTTAAGAACCCAACATTATAAAACTGTCCTAGTTAACTGATTCTACCATTTTATTCTGACGCAGAACTAGTGCTTGGGCAACAAGGGCATGTTAGCCCCAGCTACTGGGGACTTTATCCTCACCCGAGGGTATTTTTCCATTTTTTGTACAGATAGAGTGGGAGGGAGAGAGAGGAAGGGAGAGAGAGAGAGAGAAACATCGACGTGAAGGGACACATCCAGTGGCTGCCACCCGCACGACCAACCAGGGCCGGGGACAAACTGCAACCGAAGTACGTGCCCTTAGCGGGAACCGAACCCGGGTCTCTCCAGACCGCAGGCCGACGCTCTAACCGCTGAGCCAAACCGGCCAGGGCTTAAGGAATTTCCAGCTACTGGGGACTTTATAACTTTAGTCACTTGTCCAAACCCAGGTATGCCCCTGGTCACCCACACTCACTGTCCTTTCACATATCAGACACATTTACTCTGTTTCATATATTTTATTTTTCTAATTCTAACATTTGGCTTTGATGTGTACAAAAGAATCACAAGTATAAAAATTTCTGTATAGCTATACAATTAAAAAAACATGAAAACAAAACAAATTTTAATATTCATCTCTACATAGCTGAGTGACAGTCTTGAATTATGGCTGTAAAAATGGTAAAACGATTTCATTGTAATTATGTCAAAAGTTTTGATGACTCTTTTTCACTTGTTTCAGAAAACCTATGTCGTGCCATTTATACTGGATGGATTCCTCACTCACATTTCCCAACAGCCCGATTCCCTGGCTCTTCAAGGCTTCAATGACGACACCGTCATTTTTCAGCCCATGATGCTCTGACCAAAAAAAGATCCCGACACCAGCTCTGGAAGCAGTAAGAGCTTAGATTTATAGCCATTATCCTTTCCAATGTTAAAAAAAAGAGTAATGCTAAAAAGATCAATGAATTTTTCTTATTTGTATTAATTTCTTTTCTTGCAAGGATTTAATTTACATACACTGCAGGCGAATTACATTTGATAAGCTTTTACTTTTTTCAAAGTATTTTAAAAAATTCTCTTGAAAATAGTAATTCTTCTACCTGTAGGATTCTAAGTAAAAATGACCAACCGGAATGGGGGAAGTCGGAGTTTATCTTTCTGTTTTCTCACCTAGTAACCTGTTGAACACAGAGAACAGATTTTCAAGGTCTTTGTTCAGCCGCTCTAGGTACAGCTGATTAAAAAAACAAAACCAAAAAACTCACTTTATTTAATCTTAGATAAGAAAAAGATCACCAGAATGTTGTAGACATGAAAACCAGACAAATGCTGGAAAGCCGAATCAGAAGCTGCCTCACAGTTTAGACTTCTTTTTCCTCTGCTTAATAAGGAATAAATTATCACTGTCGTCCTCCTCCAAGCAGCTCTCCTTTTTCTTGTGCCTGCCCCGCCTGCCCTCTTTGGGCAGCTTGTCTTCTCTTGGCTTGTGCTGATGTGAGCGGTGGAAGGACTTGGGAGCCTTCTGGGTTCTGAAAGCGCCGGGGGAAGAGTGGGTTTTTGGGCCCCTGGGAAAGTCTTCATCCATGTCATGACACCTGTCAGCCTTCCTGGGCTTTTCCTGCTCTCTGTCGTTCCTGCTCATTGTTTCTTTTTGGGTTTCATTCTTTTCTTGAGGCCACCTGGTGCTTCTCCTCGAGGCCTGGCTTTTCCTCATGTCATGGTGGGACCTCTGATTTGCTGCTTTCACATGTGGCCTCTTGAACTGCCTTGGAAAATCCCCATTTTTCTGGAGTTCTGAAAAATATGAAAGCATTTTTGCATATTCTGCAGCAAGATGGTTCATGCAGAGCTTTCATGGGTCTGTAAATAACTTAGCAGAGAGGAAAGCCAGACATTTCAATGCATTAATGATCTGACATTCTCTAGCCCTTACTAAGGTAAAAGTCTCACTAAAAATTGTATGGCTGTAGTTCTGTATTTCTGATTGTTAACAATAAAAAACATCCCAAAGTCCAATGGTATTTATTCTGTTCAATACAATTTAACTAGGTTAAGCAATGCAGATGAGGGCGAGTGAAAGCAGTAATCATCTTACTTCGTGAAGAAAAGTCATATCTGACCAATTCAAGGGACAGCCCTTGATGATAAGGTGAAGCAAGATGCATAACATGTCCTACTGAAGTCTCGTATGACATTTCAATTACCCTCTGAAGATAAATTCTGGCCACAGTACTTAGAGGTGGATGCCAAACTGGACAGGCTATTCCTCCAGAGCAGAGCTCACTGGCTTGGAGAGTGTGTACATGTGCACACACGTGTATCTTAGAGGTTTTAGTGCAGATCTGATGTTGTATTTTGTTAGCACTTGGCTCTTACTACAGTGTCTGATGGTAGTGATTCTGACAGGGAGGTGGAAGATGAGGTTATAGTGAGGGATGAAAATTAACTTGTCAATAGAACCTTCAAAGACTAAAGTGCCCCCCCAAATGAAATGAAGTACAAAGTAGTTAGGGGGAAAATAATGAATTGTGGAATATAGAGAAAAAAATAAGTAATAGAACTTATTATAGACTTCGGCATAAAATGAAAATTCCAATGAGTCACAGTGAACCTCAAAGTGAATCTGTGCTGTAGAGCTGTAAACATAACCAGTTAAAAAGAAAAACAGCCCTCACCAGTTTGGCTCCGCAGTTAGAGTGTTGGCCCTTGGACCAAAGACTCATGGGTTCGATTCTGGTCAAGGGTACTTTTGCAGTTCGGTCCCTGGCCCTGGTGGGGGTCATGCGGGAGGCAACCAATCGATGTGTCTTTATCACATTGATGTTTCTTTCTCTCTCTTTCTCCCTCCCACTTTATCTGAAGATAAACGAAAAAATATCCTTGAATAAAGATAAAAAAAAAGAATTTGCCCGGACCGGTGTGACTCAGTAGACTGAGCGTGGACTGAGAGGTCCCGGTTCAATTCCTTATTGGGGCACATGCCTGGGTTGCAGGCTCGATCCCCAGTAGGGTGCATGCAGGAGGCAGCCAATTGATGTATCTCTCACATAGATCTCTCTCCCCCTTCCTCTTTCTAAAAAAATCAATAAAAACATATTTAAAAAAAGAAAAACAAATGGTTTTTCTCTGAGTATAAGATTTATAAACACTAATTACAGAACATTTGGGAAACACAGAAAAGTATAAAGAAAATAAAACAGGAGCACCCATAATCCTTTAATCTAGAGATGACACTTTTGTGCATTTCTTTTTTTTTTTTTTTTTTTTTTTAATCCTCACCCGAGGACATTTTTCCATTCTTTGTACAGATAGAGTGGGAGGGAGAGAGAGGAAGAGAGAGAGAGAGAAACATCGATGTGAAAGGGACACATTGAGTGGCTGCCACCCGCACGACCAACCAGGGCCGGGGACAAACTGCAACCGAGGTACGTGCCCTTAGCGGGAACCGAACCCGGGTCTCTCCAGACCGCAGGCGGACGCTCCAACCGCTGAGCCAAACCGGCCAGGGCTGTGCATTTCTTTTTAATCTTTTAAAAAGAGTCTGGCAAAGAATAACAAAAAAGGCCCAAAGAGTCAACAATGTATAGGTCAACTTGAAAATCAAAGAACTGTTTTGTTCTAAAAGCAAGAAAAATAACTTGGTAACCATCTTGATGTATATCACAAAAAAGATCAGAGGTAGAGAAAACAGGCTTACATTACAGGATAATTGGGTGAGAAAGAACTTTATGTTACATGAACAGAAAACGAAGAAGCCACGGAGGGTGGCTGTGGACCTGGAGCTCTGCTTGGAGTCATGGCCAATAAGAAATGACTTCTTTGGGGCCGCTCCAGGAATTTACCCCATAGGGAAAGCCTTTCTTTCCATGAAAAATACTACAGCTATACAAAAAAAGACAACCGAGCCACACTGACAAAGGATTTCTGAAGCGAGTATTTGACGTCTGGAGATCAAGAACGTTCCAGTTTCTGTGGTATTTATTAAAGAGGGAAAAGATAATCACTAGTCAAATAGAAAAATCTCAAAGAAGTCTTTAAAAACTCTGCATACATATATGGATAGAAGTATTTTCTTTTTCTTTTTCTTTTTTTTTTTTATCCTCACCCGAGGACATTTTTCCATTTTTTGTTCAGGTAGAGTGGGAGGGAGAGAGAGGAACAGAGGAACAGAGAGAGAGAGAGAGAAACATCGATGTGAAAGGAACACATCGAGTGGCTGCCACCCGCACAACCGACCAGGGCCGGGGACAAACTGCACACACCAAAACAAAACAAAACAAAACAAAAATGATTTGAAAGAGAGAGGGAGGGAGAGAAACATCAATGTGAGAGAGAAACATCGATTGGTTGCCTCCTGTATGCACCCCGACCAGGGATGGAACCTGCAACCTGGGTATAGTGTCCTGACTGGGAATCGAACCCACAACCTTTTGATGTACAGGACAACCGAGCCACACTGATAGAGGATTTCTGAAGTGGTACTTGGTTTCTCGAGATCAAGAACGTTCCAGTTTCCGTGGTATTTATTAAAAACATTTTCTGTGTTAACCAACGACCCCCAAAGTAGGTAAAGATAGTACAAAACAAGATATTTAGGAACTACTGCAAAGTTGATCTAGCAAGAAGTCTAGTAACATACCTTTTACTTTTCGTTTTATTCTGTGTTCTCTCTCCCGAATTTCATATTTGTCATCATAGTAGTAGATGAACGGAGATGTTGCAAAGGTCTGGTTAAACATCCGCCTTTCTGTACATTCCTGCAAATTGCATTCGAGATTAGGATGGCACACTGTTCAGACAACCTTTTTGCAAGATTATGGATGACTGTAATTAGAGTGAGCCCACCTCACTGATACTCATTCTTTTTTTTTTTTAATCCTCACCCGAGGACATTTTTTCATTTTTTATTCAGACAGAGCGGGAAGGAGAGAGAGGGAGAGAGAGAAACATCGATGTGAAAGGGACACATCGAGTGGCTGCCACCCACACGACCCAACCAGGGTCGGGGACAAACTGCAGCCAAGGTACATTCCCTTAGCGGGAACCGAACCCGGGTCTCTGTGGACCGCAGGCTGATGCTCTAACCGCTGAGCCAAACTGGCCAGGGCTGATACTCATTCTTGACTGCAGGCTATAGTCTTGCTGGGACACTGGGAGGATCACCCAGCCTGACACCCAATCGTTTACACAATTATTTTTTCAGACTTGAATTTTCTTCCCTTCTTCTTTACCTATGAAACCCTTATCGTTTTTTCAATCTTCTGCCAAAACCTTCCCCCAGGCTGAGTTAACAGCAATGACTGGGGTTGGGTGGGTCCCTCCTGCACATGCCTCATAATGTTCGAGGGTTTATTTTATTTGGCCTTATGTGATATTAGATCTGTGTTTGTCTGTCTCTTCAACAGCCTTCCCTAAGCGCGTTTCCCTTTCACATTTACACCCCAAATGTGGGTGTGACTTCTTAGCCCTGTGCTCTCCCCATCACACAAGTGGTCTGTGAGCTTCTTCTAACCTGACACTCACTGCGCGTGGCAGGGACAGCTGCTTCTGTGGTGGGGAGCAGGGCATGGTGGGTCGTGTCTGGTTTGAAAATGCTCCTAGGAGATTTTGAAATACCCCAAAGGAACCCTCTCTTCTCTTAGCTCCCCCCACTCAAGATAAGATCACTCCTGTCATTCATTACCTAGGACAGCTCCCTACTCTCACGACTCTGACCTTCCCCAATTCCACATCCTTGGCCTGAACATGCCCCTAGTAGCTTTTGTTTATCATAACCCGTGACACATATCTGTTCAGCAAGTTTGAAACCAAATATCTTTTCTTTGAAAGAGGTTTCCTTTTGGAATTTTCCCATTTCTGTCTTTTGTCATCTTGCCTAAAATTTATTTATGAATATTCAATACTTCTTAGCTGGGTATTGAAGAAAAATTAGAATACCTCTTAGGAAGAGACTATGTGAAATATCCATAAAGTTTAGCTGATTTATCATAATTTTGGCATTACATACTTGATTTGTAATTCTAAGCATCGAACCAAGCTGGTACATACGGCCACTTAGGAACATAATTTGCAGGAATAAAAAAATCATGAGTCAACCTAAATATATACTTAAGTATAGAAAATAAAGTAATGGAAATCTGTAGCCACCATTCAGCTTTATTAAATCAAACATCTCACCTTAATTTACTTGTTTCCCCACTAAGAATGAAAGCATTACCTATATAATTGAAATTGTTTTTGTAACTCTTTCCCATTTATATCTTTCCCTTTCCAGAAGTTGCCAATGTCTTAAAATTGGTGTCTATCATTATCATGGCTTTTATACTCGTACTACTAGCAAATATTCCAATAAACAATAATGTAAGTTTGAAGTGTTCAGACTTCATAAAAATGATATTCTGTACATATTTTGCAATGGCTTTAAGTTATAATAGCTTCACAGAATAAACTGAGAAGTGCTCTCTTGGATTATGTTACTGAAAAAATTTTCGTAAAACTTGACTATGAAACTCTCTGGGTCTGGTATATTTCAGGGGGGAAAATTCTGATTACTAACTCAAATTCTTTTATTGTTGTTAATCCTCACTCGAGGATATTTTTTCCATGGATTTTTAGAAAGTGGAAGGCAGGAAGGGAGAGAGGTGGGGGGGAGAGAGAGAGGGAAAGAGAGAGAGAGAGAGAGAGAAAATCATCTATGTGAGAGACACAGATTGGTTGCCTCCTGCATACATCGTGGCTGAGTTTTGAACCTGCAATTGAAGTACGTGCCACTGACCAGGAATCAAACCCGAGACCCTTTGGTGCATGGGCTGACCCTCTAACCACTGAGCACATTGGCCAGGGCACTAATCCAATTTCTTTTCTTTAAAAAAAATTTTTTTCTCCTTTACTGATTTTAGAGAGAGAGACAGTGAGAAGGAGAGAGAGAAACATCGATGAGAGAGAACACTGACTAGCCACCTCCTGCATGCCCCACACTGGGGATTGGGCCCACAACATGGGCATGTGCCCTGACCGGGAATCAAACCAGCGACCTCTTGGTACATGGGTTGATCCTCAACCAGTGAGCCACACTGGCTGGACCTAATCCAATTTCTTTAGTAGTACTGGTTCATGCAGGTTTGTTCTTCAGTCATTTTGATTAATTTACATTTTTCTAGATAATTTAATCTGCATTATCAGATTTCACTTCAAACTTTACAAGTTTATACAGTATTCTCTTATAATTAAAACTTATACTAGCCCATCGGGGGTGGCTCAGTGGTTGAGCATTGACCCATGCACCAAGAGGTCGCCGGTTTACATGCCCGGGGTTGTGGGCCCAATCCCCAGTGGAGGGCATGCAGGAGGCGGCCAATTGTTCTCTGTCATCAATGTTTCTCCCTTTCTCTCCCTCCCTATCTGAAGATAAATGCAAAAATGTCCTCGGATGAGGATTTAAAAAAAAAAATGATACTGTACTTCAAGCTATTTATACTTTTTTTTTAGTACGTGCCCATAGTGGGAACCAAACCTTAGACTCTCTGGTCTGCAGGCCAACGCTCAAATTGCTGAACCAAACCAGCCAGGGCAAGCTATACTTTTAACTCACTGCTTATTGTACCTTTTCTTTTTCTTTGAGTAGCTTTTCCAGAAGTCTCTTTTCTTTTGAAAAGAAAATGTTTTCAAAGAACCAGTTACTGTTGATGCTACTAATTTTGTTTTCTATTTCAATAATTTTGGTTCTTATCTTTATTATTTCCTTCTTTCAGCTATCTTTAGATTTGTTCTCTTGTTGAATTTCTGAAACTGCTTGGGTTCTAAAAGTTACAAGGCAAACCAATATGGTAACATAAAGAATTTTTACAAATCGCTATCCTTGATGGTTCCAACTTCCTAGAAGAAAGGATACCCATGAAAGACTTGGGTCTAAGATTCTTGTATGGACTGAATATTTGGGCCCCCAAATTTTGCAATTTGCCTCATATGGAGCTGTTTGAGATTCTTCTGCCTCTGAACTAGACAGTGAGTGAAACTGGGAAAGGGTGATGCCATGTTCACCTTACAATATCTTTCACATGAAGAAGCTATTCAATAACATCTACAGAACTAAATCTCCGAAACTCAAGGGAGGGTGTCCTCAGACCTCTTTAACCATCTGTACAGTCTCCTGTTTGGATCCTGTATGGTCTAGACTGATGTGACTATAGAGCTACATAGTAATATAAATGCTTTTCAAAGCTAAATGTAAATTATATTTTGATTATCCACATTGCTGCTCCCCCATTAGCAAAGACAACTGATAGTTGCCTATATAATTTATCTACTATTCTGGATGAGCCACACCACTGATCTTCATTAGTGTGGATAATCTAAAGTTCTTCATCTATGGCAGCGATGAGGCTGCCAAATTTGCTTTATTGTAAATTAAAAATGATCTAACTATAGATTTCAGGGATAAATTCCAAATGCTTTGAATATATTTCCTATCTATATTAACAGGGGTGACTAATAAGCAGCATGTGTCCAACTATAATTGTTTTTCTTTAATTGAACAAACATGAATGTTGAAGTTATAGCCCTCTGCTTTAAAGAAGTAAATAAGCATAAATTGTACATCTATGTGATTTGCATGGCAGTGAACTGCTTATGTGAATATGCCCCTTAAACAGTGTTGGCAACATCTGAATTTTGGCAACAAGGAGGAATGCACAGAGCAGTAAAAGATCTAGAGATAATAATTTAGTAAAAAAAAAAAAGAATGATCTAACTAGGTTTTCAGTGAGAGTTCTACAGAAGTAAAGTACATTGCAAGGTCTTTTTCCATCTTTACCACCAAACTACAAGTTTGATCACACTGGAAATAGCAACCAAACATCAGTGCTGAAAGATCTTCCTGTACAACTTCTTTGCTTTGTAGATAAAGAGGTTGGAGACCAGTGAGAAAAAGTGGGTTGTTCAAGTCACGTGGTTAAGTTGGTAGCAGAGCAAAAATGAAAAAACAAGGGTCAAAACCTCATCCTAGCTTTCATTTACTACCCTTTCACTCCATAGTCTTCCTGCTCCAAGCAGGAAGTCCATCTATGAATGGACTTCACCCAGCACCTTTTCCTCCTGCCAACCTTTGTGTCTTTCCCTACAGCACAGAGTTCCGGCCCTGAGGTCTGCAGGAGTGAAATGCCATGGTCAGAATTCAATATGGGACCTGCAATATTGTTCCCCCATCCTACTGTTCACACCCCTACCTGTTCTGAAGACTCCCTACCCTCTGTAAGCGTTCCACCTCCTATCATCAAATCTGACTTGGTATTAGTTTATTTTGGTTTCTAGGCTGTTGGAAGCCAACCTGGAGCCTGGGAATGGAGTTCTCTGTACTGATTTTCTGTTTCTGCTGCCTCAGGATGCCCAGAGTGCATGGGCTCTGAGTCTAGTTTTAGTGCAGCCTGTCTCTGGGATGAGTTGCTGCTGTTTAACACTTAATGAGGCAATGGCTAGGAGATTCAGTCCCACCTCACAGCACCAAGTCCCTTCTGTTTTAACACCTCAGCATCTCGAACACATACAGTCTGGCCTCTGCAGTCAGGACTATGGAATATGCAGGCTGGATGGGGATTCTGGGCATTTGTGGGGGAGGAGGCTTGTTGATGACGCAGCACCTCTGTCTTTCCACTAGTGAGTGTCAGCCTATATTTATCAGTGATGAAGACTGAATTGAACACGGTGCTAGGAAGAGCTAGAGGTACTGGAGAACTATGCAGAAATCTAAAATCATGATTTGGCTGTTTCCGAGTAACAGTGATCATGAGAACAGCTACCCTTCTGTTGACTATTATTATTTCTCAGATTGATTTTATGAGCTTTATTTGTTTTAGGCTACCTGTCCACATATATTTAAAACAGAGAAATGTGCTCTGACGGATCTGTTACTTGGGCAGGGATGGGAGAAGTAAATCAATTGAAACTATATTAAATCTCACTTCAGGGTGTTAGTTTCTTTAAAAAGTTAAGGGTTCAGAATTATTCTCTTTGAGTTTATCTTTCATCATCCACTTCCTGAACAACAGAATGCTTTATGCCCAAATTCCCCTCACACTTACATGTCCATAATGGCCTTCTTGACCACAGTTGTAGCAATACACTAACGCTGATTGTCCAGAAGGGGTCTTCGGCTTTTTGGGTGGTCCAGGTTTAGTCTGCAAATAAATATTTGTAAGGGTTTATTAAATTTTAGAAGAAAATTAAAACCTTATTCTTTCCAAAACAGCTCTTTTTATAAGAGTCCTTAGAAATGCTGCCTCCTAGAGTTTGGTGTGCAGACCCCATGATGACTGTGTTTTAAAGTGTATAACATGATGACAATTCTTTTATTCTTAACGTTGGTGTGTGCTTTCCTCTCCTTCCTCACTCCTCATTCTATTTAGCGCTGTACCCAACACTGTGTTAGGTATTAGGTGTTTTAGACAGAAAAAAATAACAGGCCAGTAGGACATGACAGGCATATACATAGATAATGAGGGGACAGGGTAAGCACAGAAGCATGTCCAGGTGTTAATGGAGTGGTAAGGGAGACCCACCACTGGATGGGGTGAGGCAGCCAGGGAAGCTTTCCTGAAAGTGTAAAATTTAAATTACTCTCAAAGAATTAGGTATAAGTCAAATGGAGACTCTTTGGTAGAGGAGACATCATGAACAATTACATAAAACTAAGAAAATGCATACCTGCCAACAAAGTGTAAGATGCATGACCAGATGGAAGGAAAATGAGGCTGGAGAAAGCATGGCAAAAAAAATGGAGGGCTTTGTAAATCGTGTTAAAGATGTTGGGCTTTACCTAGTGTTATGTGTAAGGTTTTAAGTACAGCAGCAGAATAGTTAGAATTGTATTCTGGAAAAACCATTTTGGCTTGTAGCTATAAGGAGGGTGAATATGAGCAAGAGGAGGTTAGCTGCAGGAGAAAGACCACTGAGGTGGCTGTTTGCCAGTTCCAGGTGAGGAGATGAGGGTTCAAACTACAAGAGTAATAAGGAAAAGGGAATAGATCTGGGAACTACATTAGGAATGAAAACTGGTATTACTTGAACATTGAAAAGATAAGAGGGAATGAAACCAAGAAGAAATCGAGATGCTTTCCAGGTTTCTATCTTGAGTGAATTAGTGAGTAGTGGTGCCAACAACTGATTCAGAGAAGGTAGGAAAAGAAGGAGGAGCCAATGTAGGGGAAAAGATGGTGAAGTCTGCTTTGGATGTTGAGACTCTAGGTGGAAATGTCCATCAGGCAGTTGTCTCTGTAAGATGAAAGTTTAGGGAATGTGTCTGAACTAAAGATGAGATCTGAGAGTACTCTGCACAACAGCAGAGGCTGAAATGACCAGGGTGAACAGGATCGCCACAGCCAGTATGAGCAGCAGTGAGCTAAGGCTGGAACCCTGGGACATTTAAGGGGGAGAGAAGGAAAGGTTACGGGATGCACAGCCACCGGAGGATATAGTCACAGACTTTACAGAGTAGGTTCAAGAAGGATGAACTGATCTACAAAGTCAATTATAGCAAAGGCCTAGTGGAATTAGAACTGAGAAAACATCCGTTAGATTTAACAACTGTTTATGGGTAACCTTATTATGAGAATTCTGGAATCAGTGGGAAAGTAGAAAGTTGAAGACAACAGGTTGAATAGTGAAGAGATATATACAAAGGTGGGAAAACTGTAAAGAAGAGCAAGAAAATGATTACCCACAAAGCCAGGAAGGAAGGTGGTTACTTCTGGGGGGCGGGTGGTAGTTGCAATATTCCATTTCTTGAACATAGTGGTGTTATATAAGTTGAGTGTGTGTTATGTAACTAATTTATTAAATTGCACACATTTTATGCACCTTTAAGCATATATATTACATTTCACAATAAATTTTAAAAAATGGAAAAAAAGTTGAGGAAAAGAAGGCAGTAGGTACATATGATTTTTCGAAGCATGACTAAGAAGGGGCAGAATAAGCCCTGGCTGGTTTGGTTCAGCTGTTAGAACGTCAGCCTGTGGTCCAGAGAGACCCGGGTTTGGTTCCCGCTAAGGGCGCATACCTCGGTTGCAGTTTGTCCCCGACCCTGGTTGGTCGTGTGGGTGGCAGCCACTTAATGTGTCCCTTTCACATCGATGTTTCTCTCTCTCTCTGTTCCTCTCTCTCCCTCCCACTCTACCTGAACAGAAAATGGAAAAATGTCCTCGGGTGAGGATTAAAAAAAAAAAGAAGGGCAGAATAAGACAAGGAAGTACCTAGAAGGTGTCGGTAAATTTTGTTATTAGAATGGAAGAGACGTGAACCCATGGGAAAGTTAGCAGAGATGGAGAAAACTGAGGAGAGAAAGGAGAACGTGAATTGAGCAAAACCCCTGAGGCAGCATGGGCTTTAAACAGGAGAAAAAACATATCTCCCTCCTCCTCTTTCCATTTTTTTCTTGGGAAATTGGAAGGATGAGATTAAACCTGAGCCCTGGCCGGTTTGCTCAGTGGTTAGAGTGTTGGCCAGCGGACTGGGGAGTCCTGGGTTCAGTTCCCGCTAAGGGCACGTACCTCGGTTGCAGTTGGGGTCGTGTGGGTGGCAACCACTCGATGTGTCTCTCTCACATGATGTTTCTCTCTCTCTCTCTTCCCTCCTTTCTCCCTCCTGCTCTATCTGAAGATACACGCAAAATGTCCTTAACAAAACAAAAAAACTCGGATAAGTTTATTTCTCATGTTCTTTATTGGGATCTATAACAAAGAGTGCTCATCTGCCAACTAATTTTGCTGCTGTTCACTGTGGCAAACAGGTGGTTTGTGGAAGCTTCACAGGAAAATACAAGTTATAAAAATCGTCTTCATACAACTTTATTTTTAGTCCCTATTTCCTCAAATGGAATACTGGAAGATAATAACCTGAAAGATCTTTTCTACTGAAAATGACTACAAATGCTATACAAAATAGAATTTAAAACCTGAGCTATTATCAATCAGGATATAATTTTAAACATAACCAACAAATGCCTTACATTCTCCGATAAAAAAAATGTGGTTCACAAGTTAAGTCTACCTAAAAGTCCTCAAATACAGTTTTAGCAACTATTCACATAAAGCATGCACCACCCATTGTAGTGGTTTATCAATTAGTTCAGGTAGTAGAGCACCAGGAAGACAGGACATTATTAAGCAGAAATAATTTTTTCATCTGCAAAGATAAGTATGTTATTTGACTGTGACCAAAACTGCAACGATGAGCATATATTGTTTTAGAGAAAGAAATAAACTGAGAGAGATGGTGTCATGAATGTGAAGGTAGAACAGATGATGTTTCAAGGAAGAAGTTGCCAAAAGCTACTGAAGAGTCAAATAAGATGAAGACATATGAAATCTGTTGGACTTAGCAATCAGGAAGTTGTTTGCAAATGAAAACTGTTGTGAACAGGTTCATTTGAGGGGTAGGGTCACAAGTCAGATTGTAATGAGTTCATTACAAGTTGAAAGATGCTGAAGAACAGAATACAGAGGACTTTCTCAAAAAACTAGACTATGCATGGGAGAACGGAAGGGGACAAGTAGAGCAGAATGTAAGCCTAAGGATGCCTCCACCACTGCAGGGCGCAGGGCACGAGCATATGCATGCATTCTTTCATTAGCTGATTTAAAAATACAGAGTGCCTAATACATGCCAGTTAGTGTTCTAAGGTTAGGTAATTGAGAAGTGAGCAAAACAAAATCACTGCTCATATCTCCATGGTGGAAGACAGATAAATAAAACCACCACCACCAACACACACACACACACACACACACACACACACACACACACACTCTTCTCAGATAGTAATAAATGGTATGCAGGCAGTTTAAATAGAGTTATGTGAATAAGCAACATTGGTGGTGACTTAAAATGGCTTTTGGGGAAACTCTCTGGGATGGCCATTCCTTATAACAAGGAAAAACAAGTATTCAATGACTGGGGAAACAGCACTCTAGGCATAAAACATTGGGAACAGGTAGTGAAAAGCCCTAAAGTGGGCATAAGCTTGCTATATTTCAGTATCTGAAAAATATCTGTAAACTTGAAGTGTAGTAGGTGAAGGAAAGCAGGAGAAGAGGTGGAGTGGAACCAGATCACTCAGAGCTATATAAACCAGAGTGAAGAGCACTGGATTTATTTTAAGTGGTACGAGAAGGTAGTTTGAAGGTAATGGTATGTGCTCAACAGCTAGCTGGCAACTGTTAGCAGACTAAAAGTGATGATAGAACAATCCACACTTCCAAATAATAAATGTTCTGTGAAAAACTGATCTATGTTTATAGATTTTTCTATTTATGTTTGTTTGTGTAAATATATAGCAATCTATCTTTGAGGCAAGATTTCTAGTTTTATTGATGAGAAGGAAAATATGCTATGTTTATCTCACTGGAATAAGAGATTCCATTGGCTCAAATCCTATGCAAAAGAACAAGATGAATCAGGAAGTGGTAACCAAGTGGGCTGGTGATATCAAATTAGCAGGTACATTCAGACATAAAACTTGACTTGATTGCCATGGATACAAATAGGGACTTCCTCATGGGAGGGGTCACCCATACCCCTATAGCAATTCTGGCTTCTCCAGAATTGGAAACACAGGAAAAATCACACTACTACACAATTCTCCCGTGGTTCATTTCCATCACCTCTACTCAGAGTAAAGGCTACCTTTATTTAATACTGCCACGCGTTCCCAATTCAACTTTCCCTATTTTACCTTCTAGTATACTAAACTAGTTATTTATTATGTTTATTACCTACTTTCCCACTGGCAGAATGTAAGGTGCATGAGTGCAGGGATCTTTGTTTGGTCCACTGTGAACCCCTATGCCAAGAGTCTAGAATGTGTTGGTAGATCATGGCCAGCAGGCCAAATCTGGCTCACTACCTGTTTTGGTATGGCTCATTAAGGGAAAAATAATTTTCATATTTTTAAATGGTTAAAAAAAGATTTTGAAACATGTACAAATTATGTGAAATTCAAAATTCAGTGTCTGTAAATAAAGTTTTATTGGGACACAAAACAGGCACCTCTGTTTACAGACTATCTGGGGTTGCTTTTCATGCCACAGGGGCAGTTATGACAGAGTCCACATAGCCTGCCAAGCTAAAATATTTACTATTTGGCTCTTTACAGAAAAAACTGCTGACGCCTGACCCAGAA